GGTGAGCCTATTGCCATATACCGGGCACAATTCCAGATTCCGTGCTACTACTAAGAATTTTTTAAAAAACCCAGTATTACTTTGCCCGACCCGGGAATCAAACCCGAGACCCCTTGCCCAGCAGTCGCACTTGCGACCACTCGGCCAACGAGGCAGTTATGTTAAGGAATGTGTGAAAAAACACTGATGATGATTCCAAAATCATTGAAACCGTGATTTGTTGATTCTCCCACACTGTAACTACATGTATCTTAATATTATTCTGCCAAAGCGTCGATATAGAACTTTATTTTTATATCTTATAACATGTGTTTTCACAGGGTTATTGTACTTCTGATATAGTTTCCTTAGAATTATATTTATGTGTATTGCTTATAATTCTATTTATTTCCAAAACATAGGTAACCTAGTAATCTAAATACAATGATTTTCACTGACTTCAGAATGCGTGGGAAAATACACGACGCGAATAGTAATTCTTAGAATCATCATCGATACTTCGCGTTCGATAGTCAGCAAGTCGTTAATTACTTTATGTTAATGACAATTTTATCGATTACCTATATCATGTCGTATATCTATTCGATTAGCACGTGTTTGTCTGTACATGAAACTATATACCAATATGCTGAAACTGTCTAATCAATTATCAACTTTTTTTATTTTGGATATAAAGTTGAATTTCAGTTTCCAGTTTAGGTTACGTTGATATTCTATTGTATACTTATTTTAAAACTTTTAATCCCCTTTATTGTCCATATGTTTTGTTGTATGACTTCTTATACCTATTGAATTGATTAGAAATAACTTCTGTTTCGTTTGATAGATAATTTTGTGAATGACACATGCTATGGCGCACGCGACTACCTAGTCGTGGTTTTTGGAACACGTGGTCCCTTGATGTATTATATTTTTTACTCGCTGATCCGGCCAACTTCGTATCGTCTATCTCACCTTTCCCTTCCCTGGACTTCCACGAACATTTAAAGACCAAAATTAGCTAAATCAGTTCAGCCGTACTTGAGTTTTAGTGAGACTAACGAATGGATATTCATTTTTATTTATATAGATTTAAATTTTTGTACATTCTTTTGTTATTTGTCTAATTAACTAACAAACTAGCTTGGAAATGAAAGTTCTTTTACGCCGAATAAATTATATATATATAACCTCGTCGCGTTTGCTTTAATACTTAGGTATAAGCAATTTCAGAGTTGATACATTTTTTATTATAACTTTAAGGTTTCGTACGTAGTTTCCCTTTATTTTATCTATAACATTTATGATAAATTTACGTGTACAGTAAGGTTGTAGTTACCTCATAAAACTACAATATATAATGTCAGTACCTACCACGTGTTTACATCACGGCTCATTGTCAGCGCGCCGCAAACTATTGGCGCATCATTTTAGCACATAGTTATGTGGAAGTACTTAGATAAATAAGTAGACAACTGCGGATGCTGAGATTTTAACCTTGTTCAGATATAAAACCTAACAATAAAATATACATATCTATAAATTTCTTTCGTAGCATGCGATCAACTTCTAGGTCTGGTTCTGGTTTTTACAGTGCTCGAAAAATTATTATTAGTAAGATAGGATTTGATATTGCGCCTGCCATTAGGCTCATCCCTGTTTGATGGGAGAAAATTAAATAAAGTGTGAACAAATAGAACAATTACTGAAATACAGTGTGCTAGAGAATCGAGAATATATCAAGAAACTAAATAAATTATGTCTGTAAACTAACATATAAGAAAGAAACAAAAACCTAGATCGAAATTAAACTACAATTCTGACACATTACAATGAACCAAAGTCAAAAAATAATTTGGGAATTCCATATAATTGCTGTACACATACAGCAGGTTATATTTACTTGATCATTTCGCGTAATCTGCGCCCGCGCATCATTATGTACCTACAAATAACACCGCGGAAGTAGTGTCAACATTGGTCGGTTTTGTTCGTAAATATTTTTTAACCTAGCTTATCTCAGCGACTTTACCCATGGTAATGGGGTAAAAAGTAATCTGTATTAATATTCCAGAATATCTAGCCAATTTTTCGTTTCGAATCAGTACTGTCCTGATTGAGTGACAAACTTCAAAAGGAAACTTGCGTATATATATATTTAAGTGTGGGAGAGCCATGCTTCGGCACAAATGGGCCGGCTCGACCGGAGTGATACCACGGCCGAGCAGAAAACGCGCGACGCAACGCTTGCGTTGTGTTTCGTCGTGTGACTGAGGTTACCGGAGGCCCAAATACCCTCCCCTCCCCAATCTCCCCAATCCCTGAGTCCCCAACGATCCCTAATTCCCAAAATGCCGGTAACGCACTTGTAACGGCTCTGGTGTTCCAGGTGTCCATTGGCGACGCCGATTTCTTACCATCAGGTGATCCGTGTGCTCGTTTACAGGCTTATGCCATAAAAAAAATGATGATGCCTATAGGTAAGTAGTGGGATATTAAACATGGCACTGAACACGTCACACGCATCGAAATTAAAAAAAAAACTTTTTCAAAATGGTCGTGTATGCAAATATAAACTACATGTTTAACGATTGGCAGAATGGTTCACGTTTTAGCTGCTGTTAATTGTCACTGAGTCATCGAATCAGTAAGTGACAGTTTTGGTTAAAATTGATGAATAGCTATGTGATGCGTCAGTGGTAATTTAAAAATCCCTAGCCCACCCTTAAGTAGTTATGATGTCTCATTTAAATGATCTAATCGGTAAAAAATATAAAGAAAAATGGCATTATAGTTAATAGATTATTTAGCATTGACTTTTCTTATGTCCATAAAATAATTCTCATCAATCAATATCACTGAATTGTTAAAGTTACATTTGTCGTTTCTGGTAATCATAAACAAATTAAAACAAGGTTCAATAATTTAATAAATGTGTGCGAATGTCAAAGAAGATATTATATTTGTTTATATTATCTGTGGCAAGCTGGCCACCGAAACCTATTCCTATTCGAATTCGAATTTTGAAAGCTCCTGTATACGATTCGCTAGTTGTTCTAATGGTTGATTGCCTTTTCGTAATATTCTAAATAGCAAGCTTTCAAATGGTTACTTGTACTTGTTTTATTTCATTAACTCTTCTATAAAATATTGAAGTCCATTGAAATATACGTGATATTTTGGATTGTTCACACTGTAAACCGGTAGTTAACATAAGACAAGTTTGAGAATGACTGGATCTAGTGATTTCCATTTATCCAAGTTGGTCTTAAAGTATTCCGGAACATTGACGTAATGGAACTACACATGGTATCTCTCAGTTACTGCACATTGTAACCAATATTGTACACTAGTTACATACAATACGCAAAGTGTGTAAATCGCGTATACACAATTTTTTCTGTAACAAGTCGACACAGCTACAACACGAAGTTACTACAACTACTTTTAGTCACTTTGTTACTAAGTGGTTACGACAAATAGAAGTGCACTCCCACACAGTCGCAATATGTAGTATCAGATACGAAACTGATGCAACTTGTTACACCTTTTACAAATCTGCGACCAAAAATGGCTATATGTGAGCTGTACATTGTAACATCTACTTCTCACTATTTATGTTATGAGTCCCATGTAATAAATTCCAGACTCCGGGCTACTACTGAGAAATATTTAATATCAGTAATACTTTGCGCGACCCAGCAATCGAACTCGAGACCCCTTGTCCGCCAGTCGCCCTTGCAACCACTTGGCTAACGACATAGTCCAAATGGTGTCCAAATAGTATCGGATAATTCATGTAAATTGAACACGAGTCTTTATATACATAGGAAGACCATCCTAGTCCCAAAATTACCTATCCCGAGAATACGGCGCGTCGTGTTCCGCGCACGCCTCAAAGAGCTATCAGACCACCACGGATGGGGCCCAACAGGACCAATGCTGATTCGGAGTCGCACAGAACGTAACGGGTTACCGGGGCTCCGGCTCGACGTGCAGGAGAAGGAACGGGGTGGTTTTTAGTCAGTAAGAGTCTGACACTCTCTTCCGCTTCACCTAGGCGGGAGCAGTCATTAGATGATTTTCCCCCCTTAAAAAAAATTCCTATTCGAAACCTATTTATGTTTTTCTTTTGTTTATGAAATATATGCAGTGTGCTTCTGACTAGTTTGTTTAATTCACACGTAAAGTAATTACTGCATGATATATGAAAAATATGTATATAACAGGAGAGAGCTGACCACAATGCAAGGATGTCAATCGTTCAAGAACTGGAACAACATCTGATATTCATCTGTTACTGCTGGAAGTTGATATAAATTACTTACAGATCTTCTTCATGGTTATGGATGCAGTGGGCAGCGGTGAGGACATGTCGAGAGCTGATGAGGGATCCTCCACACAGCCAGTTGGTAGTGCCAGTCCTTTTGCTCTTGTAACCGAGGAGGGCCATCCAGGGGAAGTCTCCTGCAATGAGGACGAGAATTTAATGAGTTGATTGCTAATGACAAGTATTAACGGGTGATCCAGCTCAATCAAAAGCTCTTGTATTAAGTAACTTATATTCAGTGATTCAGATAAACTTTGATTGTAAAGTTAAAGTGATCATAAAATCCCCAATCCCCAAATCCCCCACAATTCTCGAATACCCAATTCGCAAAAGGTCGGTAACGCACTTGTAACACCTCCGGTGTTTCAGGTGTTTATGGGTGGCGCCGCTTGCTTACCATCAGGTGATCCGTCTGCTCGGTTACCGGCTTATCACATAAAAAAACTGACAATTCTCTTTTGATTTGTATTTTGAAAACTGGCAACTTTGAAAATACGAGTGGTTTATCATTGATTTCTTCATCAGACATAATGTCACCCTTATTTCCTAAGTCATAATGGTAAGTTTCAAAATCTTACCCAACCCAGCATCAACTCCACCGACGACTCTTCCGAGAGAAGCATTGCTGAACCCACAGATCGGAGGATCAGGAAGGGCAGGTACAAAGTCCTCGGGGCTTATCTTTGCTGCTGTTGCGGGGTCTGTTGGCGCTGGTGTCGGTTTTGGAGTCGTGGTGGTAGTAGTAGTAGTTGTGGTCGTAGTGGGGAGAGTAACTTGAGGTTCTGGGAAACCAGGGAGTGGACAGCATACCTGTGGGAAATGTTAGTTTTATGAAAGTGTATAGGTGCGTGGTTATGCAATTATTAGTTAGTGCCTAAAGGTGTAGAATGGTTTTTAAGTTCCTGTAGCTATTCCAGAAAGTCTTTTTGTATCCTAATTGAATTCATTAGTGACTGACAGTTGAAAGTCAATAGTCTCAATCACCATTCTCTGGCAATGGACGAGTATCAATAACATTTTTGATTAAAAATCGCGCCACGTGAAACTGCAAATAAAAGCTCTACTAGTTTCGAGATACAGAGGGGTTCTTCCTCATGAGTAGCGTGCGCGGTTGCGGCGATGTTGCGCATCCTACTTATCGCCGTAACCCTCGATTTTTAGTTAATTTAATATGTCTCACGATAGATATTACAAAAACATTTTGATTGATTAGGATCTTAAAGTTAGAGTTTTCAGTATTTGGTGCCCAAAACTTATCTTCACTTAGTAAGGAATCCATTCCTTCTTCTAACTCGCTTGTAGTGAAGAAATACTCTTTACTTGTCCTCACCATGACAAATCAAATTTTGAGGAAAAGTTTTTCGGATGTCAACTTTCAGTATTATCTTTTGCGAAAGATATTTATTTTATCTTTGATATGTTCAGTGGGTATCTCAGACTGTGAGGTCATGAATCATACTTCCTAACTTCCTACGATAAGATGGAGATTAGATCTGTAGAAATGAATCATATTTTCACATGACTAGGGGTCTGTTCAGGGATTGTGATAGCTAAAAGTTCTAATATAACTTTGCTTTGTTTATCGAGTGCAAACTCATTAGAGTGAGTGTGGGACTTACTTTATAGTCAAAAAAAGAAACGAATTTCATTTAGCTAGGATTTCATTAAAATTGTTTTCATAAATATATAACCAATGTAAAGTGGACACTAAAAATATGTCTACGTTTGCCATTCTCCTCCGAGAAGTAGAAATTAGAAATAATGTCTATGTTAGGTTCATCATCTTAGGCTCACCCCCTATTACATGGGACTCATAACATAAGTAGTGAAAAGTAGGTGTTACATTGTACAGTGGCATAATGTACACCTCTGCCTACCCCTTCGGGGATAAAAGGCGTGATGTTATGTTGTTGGCTATGTTAGGTTCATCATCATCATCATCATCATATTATTATGTACACCATCATATCAGCCAAAGGACGTCCATTGCTGAACATAGGCCTCCCCCAATAACTTCCAGATAGGCCGGTTGGAAGCGACCTGCCACCAGCGGCTCCCTACGACATTAATGAAGTCGTCTATTATGTTAGGTTACAAATTCAAATTTCGAATTACCTTCGGAGCAGTTCCCTCAAAGCCGCAATGTGCTCTCCTCAACAGCTGCACGGCGTTGGGGTTGGTCCTCGACTCACGAAGCACGCTGATGTAGGGCTGGCACTCGTATACTGAAATACAGGTGCCAAGACCACCTTCTACCGTTGGACAGGTTTCCTCTGAGAAAGTAAAATTCTTTGTTAGATAGAATGGTATAGAGCTTGATAAGTTTTTATAATAACTATCATGAGACATACTAAATCAACTAAAAATCGAGGGTTACTCACGTGAATATATTGAGAAAAGCTACTAGTTTCGAACCACAGAGGGGTCCTTTCTTCCTCATGAGCAGCGTGCGCGGTCGCGGCGATGTCTTGCAGCCTACTGCTCTCGAGGAAGAACCCTCTGTGGTTCGAAACTAGTAATAACTTTTGTTTAAATTGAAAGAAAATTTTTACGAATAGGTATATTACAAAAATATTTGTTGCGTAACAAAGCGTGCATAAACATTACTTTAACATTTATGTAGTTATTAAAAATCTACGATGATTGTTCACCTAGCGATAGCCCTGCCGATGTTACGTCTATATTATCACTATACAGGGTGTAAATGAAATGCTCCCGAACAACGCCGACAGGAGATGGTAAAAAACAAATTTTATATTCATGAAAGAAAGTAATTAAATGTTTATTTTATGTAATAACAAATCCGGCGAACTCCGTTTCGCCACCAGATGGCTTTGTTTTATGTAACATTCTTTGCTATAAACCTCATGGAAACCGAGATCTTTCAACGAATGCAATACCGTGCAAATCGGTTCGTGCGTTCTGGAGTTACAGCGTCAGGAAGGAAAACCCGACTTATTGTTATATAGCAGATAGTAAAGTTGTAATCAACTACTCAAGGTTGATTTTGTATGAATTTTTACATACATATAACATATATAACATTTGCAAAAATAACGATATAAATTTAAAAAAATCTTATTTATTCTTACACGTTGTGTTACGACCTGACTATTGCCATATAGCTATACTTTTTTTAGAAAATGCCCCTTATTCTCTGTTTTATCGCACACTTCTCCAACTATAGGTAATTAAAACCAACGTTAGTACCTTGTTCACTTCTATGCTCCTATAAATACTCCTTTATTTAACTGTAATTAATTATGTATAAACCTAAGTATATAGGTAGACACATCATAGAAACAAGTTTCCAATGTAAATTAATTAATAATAATTTACTTGACTAGTGTGTAGGTATGTGTTTATGCAATATTTGTATGCAAATCATATTTTCATCATTGACGCGTAGTTTGTTTGTTTTTTTAACCGACTTTATAAAAGAAGGAGGTTCTAAGATTGGCTTATATGTTCGTATGTTTATATCGCCATTGACTGTACCGACTTTGACGCGGTTTTCAGTTAAGTGTATGTTACTCTTATGCCGGAATACTGAAACGTTACTCAATTTTAAGTCGTGCTTAAATATCGTGCCATCTCTGTCATTTCACAAAGAATTTGTAGAGACAGAACTATACTTAAACGCGACTCAAAATTGAGTAGCGTTTGAGTATTCCGACATTAGGAGAATGTTTTAGTATATTAATAGGGTAGATGACTTATTTTAATGTCCGTCTGGTAAATTATTTAAAAACATTAGACACGTATTTTTTATTTTCTTACGGAAACGAATAGTTTCTACGATATATTCATTTGAAAGTCGTGTTAATTACATTATTTATAATTCAAGAACGGCTTAAACTGTCAAACACCAAGAGGTCACCGGTGACCGCAACCTATTGTTCTATAATTGTGTCTATAATGACGGTACTCGACGAGTTAAATTACGTACTGTACTTAGTCCATCTTGACTCCAAAGAGGAAAAGCTCACTCGCTTGGAGATGGTACAGAGGACTGTAAACTGTACTGACTAAAACCAACCTGGTGGTGTCCAGGTGCTCAAATAAACATACGTACAAAGTGAATAAAGTTAATGCGGATGTCCTAATATGTATATCTAATCATACATACATACAGACCGATTATTATTTTATGAGTAAGTAGGTACACCTGTTTTTTTTTTTTTACTTTTATAAGCCGATACAGAAGGTTACTATTAGCCGATACAGATACCTACATAAAAAAGGTTACTACGTGACTGAGATTTTGTTTTAAAAACCCAATAATTCTTTGCCAGACCCGGGAATCGAACCCAAGACGGCCCGGCAGTCGCACTTGCGAAAAACTCGGCCAACGAGGCAGTCGATTATATTAAGTACTTTTGCATAAATAACTGAACCATCTATACTGTGTCTGTAAGTACCCCTGCACCTGATTACATGGTTCAATTGATTCTTATACAGAGCTTAAAGTTTCGATAGCAATCAACTGTCACCAAGGCGCCAATATCTTTGTTTGAGGAAAACATTTCGAAAACAACAGATTTAACACATAAATAGCTATCCTATCGGGATTCCCAATTAATTACCTCCAATTAATATTAGTGTAGGTAGTATAATGACACGTAGGCCACTTTAAAATTACACAGGTAGATACATCACCGTGACTTTCATTAATTTGGCTTGGTATTGGTACTTGTATCACGTAGGTACTTATCTATCAAAATATTACATATTTCGTATATTCTTTATATCTTTTATGTAGATACCTTATGACTAATTGCTGTTTTTATTGAGTTACTAAGTAGCTATGCTCACGACTTCGTCCGCGTGGAATAGTGATTGAGAGTTCCTCCCCCGTAAATGATACCGTGATAATATGTATCGTATATGTTGAACCGACCTGTTAGGTATATTCATGCAAAATTTGAAGTAAATCCATACAGTAGTTTCTGAGTTTAATCCGGACATACATACAGTCAATCAGACAAAAATTCTTATAACAATATTGTTGGCTCGATATTAAAAAAAAAATTAATATACAGTTTTCACTTTCCTACGATTTTATTATAATTATGTAAACAGATAGATATAGATTTTTTTTAAGGGGGGAAAATCATCGAATGACTGCTCCCGCCTGGGTGAGGCGGGAGGGAGTGTCAGACTCTTACTGACTAAAAACCACCCCGTTCCTTCTCCTGCACGTCGAGCCGGAGCCCCGGTTACCCGTTAGGTTCTCGGAGCCCCGGTTACCCGTTAGGTTAGTACCAGTTTGATTTACGTTTATAGTATTCAAAACGAGTATGCGTTCGGCACTCTGATTGGCCGGCACAAATGAAGTATTCAGATCAGATGAAGGGCTCAGATCACCTATCGAATATAATGTTACTGATTACCGACATCGATATATTTTTTAAAACATTTTTCTCTGATTAACTAGTAGATTAGTAAAAAAAATTCGATACAGCTTGCTTTTTTATAAACCAAAATTTGTTGTCATATCTTGATAGATTGTTTAAAATCGACTTTTTTAATCAAATATCATATTAGTACATGACGTCACTTCCTTTGAACAAAATGCACGTGAAGGCAAATGAGTACTTTCCTTAATCATTCAATCATTATTTCGACAGTTCAATACAATAAAATATTAAAAAATAATCACACTCATTAATTCATTTTATGACCAATTTAATTTTAGTATTTTTCACAGCAAATTTTTAGAAATAACTATGCTGTTTGACACTAAAAAAAACGTGACGTCACAATACACAATCTCGTAAAAAAAATCATAGAAAACTGTCGTTTTTGACAGTTCGAAAAAAGTATCGAATTTGACTAGTTGGCAAGTACCTATTTTAAAATGAATATTTTGACTGTTTGAATTCAGAAACTTGTTGAAGTTATTTCCATGTATCATGCTGTATACACATGAGACCCTATTACCCCCCTCTCCAATTTCCCCAATCCCTGAATCCAAACAATCCTCAAACTTCTAATCCCCAAAAGGCCGGTGACGCAATTGAAACGCCTCTGGTGTTCCAGGTGTCGCCGGTTGCTTACCATCAGGTGACCCGTCTGCTCGTTTACAGGCTTATCAAATAAAAAAAACGTGATACGTTAACGTATTCCATGCCAATTAGTTTTTTAAGGGGGGTAAATCATCGAATGACTGCTCCCGCCTGGGTGAGGCGGGAGGGAGTGTCAGACTCTTACTGACTAAAAACCACCCCGTTCCTTCTCCTGCACGTCGAGCCGGAGCCCCAGTTACCCGTTAGGTTCTCCGCGACATTCCATGCTATAGTCCTATTGTAAAACCTAAAATGCTATTTAAAACTCATTAACCTCAGACTAGTATAAAAAATGTCTACAAAAGGAGAAATAACTTAATGTTGGAATGTTCCAAGATTTTTTTGTCACAAAACATTGAAGCAGTCAAGTTAGTATTCAACACCAGCATAACATTAAACTCGATGCTAGTCGAAACTAGATTTCATATAGTAATCTGAAATATATGTAAATCTTTTGGGAAACACTACGACAGGTTTCCGGGAAAATCCGAAATATTTTCAGAGTGTACATAACTTATTGGATGACTGTGTCAGGGAAAAACGCAAAAATATTTCCCAGACTTTCTTAGGGACCCGATAAACGTGATATTTATACGCGCTTAAAATTGAAGAATTGACCATTATTAACATAACCATATACGAATTTTAAACGATTGAACATATAATTCGTCTCCTTTGACACTGCATAGATACAAGGCGTTAAAATCAACAAAATATTGTAAAGACGTTTGACCCGCAGTAAGCGGTTGACCTTGGTGACGTCACCGTCAGAAAACTATATATTTTGTTGATTTATAATAATTGTTTGTAAAAAACCTTAAGATCACGGCATTAGCGAATTCGATACAGACACCTATTATTTTCAATTTTACATCCGTATTGTTTTGTTAATTGTTTTTCTTGGGTTGTATTTTTTTTAGTGAATAAATTGTAATGAACCTAATATTTGTATTAATGGCGGAAAGTGTGTGTTATCCTAATACTCCGCCACAGATGGGGCTCAATAGGGCTGATGCCCTTTTTTTGTCGCGGCGGAGCTCCGGCTCGAAGGGCAGGAGTAGGAACGAGGTGATTTTTTTAGTCAGTAACAGTCTGACAGACCCTCCCGGCTCACCCAGGTGGGAGAAGTAATTCGATGATTTTTCCCCCTTAAAAAAAATGCTACTAATATTATAAAAATGTGAAAGTTTGTAAGGATGTGTATATGTTACTCTTTCACGCAAAAACTACTGGTCGGATTTAGACGAAATTTGGAACATTATGATATGATTAACACATCGAAACCCCGCTGCCGCGCCAGATAGGTGCGTGGCGGGATGAGCTCCGGCGCGATCTCATGGCGGAATGGCAGCAACGACTGTCACAACCGAGGGCTGGGCTCGCTGCCATCGCAGCGGTAAGTCCCCTCTTTGAGGTGTGGCTTGAGAGACGCTACGGCGTCCTCACCTACCGCCTGACGCAGGTCCTCACCGGACATGGAAGTTTCGGGAGGTACCTGTGTCTGATGGGGCGGGAGGAAACGCCCGGGTGTCATCACTGCGAGGACCGCCCTGAGGACACGGTGGAACACACGGTGGGAGAATGCCCTTCGTGGGCTGAGCACCGCCGTGTCCTCAGGGAAGTGATCGGCGATGGCGACCTCTCGCGTCCGGGCCTAGTGCAGGCCATGATGCGGAGCGAGGGGGATTGGGATGCCGTCTCCTCCTTTTGCGAAGCAGTCATGCTAGCTAAGGAGGAGGCGGGACGCGTGAGGCAGCGAAGCGCTGCCTCCTCGCAACCCAGCCATCGCGAAGGACACACCGGGCGTCGGGGATCGCGGGACGATCTCCGGCCACCGTAAGCGCGGGCCTGCGGACGGCGAGCATGGGTGGCTCCCCGTCCGACCAGAAACAGACCCGAGCGTACGGCGCGTCGCGTTCCGCGCGCGCCTCAAAGAGCCATCAGACCACCACAGATGGGGCCCAATAGGGCCGATGCCGATTCGGAGTCGCGGAGAACCTAACGGGTAACCGGGGCTCCGGCTCGACGTGCAGGAGAAGGAACGGGGTGGTTTTTAGTCAGTAAGAGTCTGACACTCCCTCCCGCCTCACCCAGGCGGGGGCAGTCATTCGATGATTTTCCCCCCTTAAAAAAAAAAATAAAAAAAAAAAATTCCTTTCGGAAAAAGCGTAATGTTAGCTTTCGTAACAGTTCGTCTACCTATTCGGTCTGTAGTGATGGTAAACACAGGCGTCGTCCGTAGAAAGGACACCCACGCCCACAACACTAACAGAGTTGATACATGTGTTGCCGGCCTTTTGGGGATAAAGAATTTACACCATTTTACGTGGTAGCACGGAGTCTGGAATGGTGTCCGGTATAATATGGCAATAGGCTCACGCACTATTACATGGGAATCATAATATAAATAGTGAAAAGCGGATGTTACATTGTACAGTGGCATAATGTGCTATAATGTGCACCTCTGCTTACCCCTTAGGGGATAAAAGGTGATGTTATGTTATTTGGACACTAGGAAAGTTAAAAAATTGTGAATTGGACATACCACACATGTGTCTTCTACTATAGCGAGACACGTGTTTCTATGTTTACCTATGTATATTACTCAGTCTACCTATTTAAGCGAAGTCACTTTTATCATCAAATTATTAGCTTATAAAATATCAAAAGTTTCAATGAAATTGATTCAGTGATTTATGAGATACCTATGTGATTTGAGTTGATATAAAACGATAAGCATTTTATTGACAATCTATAAGCGCTCGCCGTCGAATTACACAACCTTTGCTTATTACAGCGTAATAAATAATAATATTTTTTTGTTTTGTTGTTTTATTTATAGTTATTAATAAGAACATAGACAGATGGAAGGTCTAGGTATGTACGCCATTTTGTTTCCAAGTGATTAGTATGAAACCTACTTAACTGATTTTAATCTTATTTATTAAGCTAGCTACTTCCGCGCGGTTTCACACGCTCTACTCAGCTCCTATTGGTGGTAACGTGATGTTTTATAGCCTATAGCCATCCTCGATAAATGCGCTATCCAACACAAAAGTAATTATTAAAATCAGACTTGTAGTTACGGAGATTAGCGCGTTCAAACAAACAAACAAAAAAAAAAACAATAAAACAAACTCTTCCGCTTTATACCTCTATAATAGTATAAAAGTATAAGATTCCTTACTTCATATTTTTCATTAGTCAATCATATCCATGCTGTTAAATTGTAATGGAAGAAGAATTTGTTATTATCAATGAAATCGGCTCCTTTCATTCTTTCCAACAATTTGATTGGTGGTGCTTATGACAAGTATAATAAAAAAAATATTAAATGAACCATCTTCGGTCTGTTCAATGAAAAGGATTGTTTTAAGATTGATGGTTTCCCTACGTGAAACGGCGACAGCAGAGGTATAACAAGTGCTTTATCGCCCATGTAGAAAAAAGTATAATTGCGCCATCATTTAAAATAAAATTGACTATCTATTCGGCACATAAAAGTCATGATACAATGTGTATATTTATAAGAAAAAATACGAATCTGTCCTACGTTGTTTCAGTAAGTTATCAATAAAATGGTCAGGAGGTCGTCTGGGCAAGGTAGCTCACTACGTCCCGATAGCCATGACACACAAAACAGGGATGACCAAGATGAAACAAAAACAACTGAACGTCTTCTGCACAGCAAAATAAACACTCATTCACAAATAATAAGACGCATTTTTTATTGTACTTTATGTAGTCTTTGTATGTTCTTCCCCGAATGGATTGGAGTTTTTTTAAGAGTAAGTTTTCAATAATTTTGTTATTAAATTATAGTTGAATTGGTGATTACACGTGTCACTATTTGACCTCTGAGTTAAGTAAAACATCGTTGAATAATTTGAAACAGGTTTTTTATGCTAGGCAACGAAAGATTATTGTGTTGCAACCCAAACCGATAACTCGACTGGACTCCTCGTGACGTCAGTTATATTATGAAGTGATAATAAGCAAGAACTCTACGACTATAAATTGTTTGCCGTCTACTTAAAATGCATTATTAGCATAAAAATGAAAGTAATTGATCATAAAGGTAACCATCTAACAGACACAGAGTGTCAATTATTATAATTATGTCTTAAACCTGTATTTACATGAAATATTATTTAATTAATGACTACCTACGATATTATACCTACCTACCGAAGAAAATATCAAAAACTACAAAGGTCATCTTAATAATAATTAGCATACAAGATCGGGAGTAGATAGACAGGTAAAATCGAAGGTTGAAAAGTGATTCATTTATTAACACAACATTGAAACTTGCGCAAGAGTCGATCCATTACATACAGTAGTGTCAACAGAGAGAGGTCAACGAAGTTTATAAGGTAAATAAGAGTTGCACACTGATAAGCAAAATATGGACGAACAGAAAACATCTTCAACATGTTTTATTAGCTACTAATAAAAGGCAAGAAAATTAATAACACAAAGAGGCAGTAGAAACAAAACAAGCAAGAGGCCAAAGAAAACAGAAAATTTGGTTTAAATATTAGCGTAAGCCTGCGAAAAACCGCCTTTAAAATTATAACGCTCTTATCTAGCCAAGTAAGCACATCCAGGGAAACTAGTAAATCTTTCTAAAGGTTTTTGTGTTTCGTCTATAGAATTCAAATAAGTAACACTTATTTCTAATAAGCTACTTCGTTGTACTATTTGCAGAGATCTATCGAAAGCTTTTGAAAAAGGCCCTGGGGAACTCCTGTAAAATTGATTGTATATACATACCCCTCGATATGTTAATTAGCGTCTTAGTATCTAAACTTACTGAACACTCCTTGATTTGAATTTTGTTGGAAATTGAAGCTGTTCCTTGATTCCGTGGAGACAGTAGGCACCGGGGTTAATGGTTTCCATGTCGGTATATCGTCAAAGTTCACTGGATCATTTGGTGCTGTAACTCCAACATCTTCTGCAAACAGACCTTAATATTTATCATGAGCATTATTATTAATTATTGTATTTTTAGCTATAAGTTCTTTGATAACATTACAATCTAAATCTTTAAGTCAATCTTATTCTTTAGTTTTGATATGTAAATTCGATTAGATATCTTCTAATTTATTTTTTATTTATTGTTATGATAATAATATCATTTAGATTAGATTTTAAAACAGGAATTTTGTGTTGTTAAACTGGTTTAGATGTAAAATGTTGCCCCAATAAAAAGGTATGCTAGAGTCACCTATGCTGGTGAATACCAATTTTGAGTGGCTTTAGTAATCTTTTAATCCTAATTATGAATTTAAATAACGAAACGAAACTCAAGTCTCATAAAGAATTACTTTATAGTTTTTTAAATCCGAATTTACGGATAGATGTTAAATGAGAATTTTTAATAATCTGGATAATATTTGATATTATTGTACAAAATATGCATTGACTTTTTCCGTTATTATCATTTTTATTATATGCTGGTGAGCTGTCATAATATAATTCTCATAAATGGTTACATTATTCTAGATTGTCCAAACCATTTGATTCGTGCAAATACCGTGTAAAAAGGTGATACATAAGATGATAAAACATATGTATGACCCTGGTCAATGACCTGATTGAACCTAAACGTCAAAGGCTTCATTTTTTTAACACCCAATTTATCGTAACTAAAATAAATCCCTTTTCTTATGAAATACCCTCACCTCATTTTGGAAACATTGTGGTACTTAATCCTAATATATACTAATATTATAATTGTAAAAGTTTCTCAATTAGATCAAAACCGCTGAAGGGATAGACTATGGTCTTGAATATGACATAGGCTACTTTTTATATCACGGAAACGCGGGCGAAGCCGCAGGCAGAAGCTAATGCTATCTTAAGGTAATAAAAAAAATACCTGGACTAGGCGTAGTGGTAGTATTCACATCCTCGAAACCGCCATTAGATCCGTCTTGTGGGGGTTTCTCCTCATTTGTATTGGTTACTTCATTGTCATTATTTGGTTGGAAGCTATCGTCACTTGGGCCTGGTTGGAAACTACCGTCACTTGGGCCTGGTTGGAAACTACCGTCACTTGGGCCTGGTTGGAAACTACCGTCACTTGGGCCTGGTTGGAAGCTACCATCATTCGGGCCTGGTTGGAAGCTACCGTCACTTGGGCCTGGTTGGAAACTACCATCACTGGGTGCTGGTTGGAAACTGCCATCATTGGGGGCTGGTTGAAAACCTCCATCATAAGGGACTGTTGTTTGGAAATTCCCATTGTTAGGGTTAGGTTGGAAATTACCATTCGGGTTTTGGAAATTAACGTTATTAGGGTTGTTTTGGAAATTAACATTTCCATTATTCTGACCATTCTGGTTATACATTGGTCGGTTTGTTGGAAAAACGACAGGTCTGCCATTATAGTCATATTGGTTTTGAGACCCTGGACTTATTTCATAGACGTAAATAGTGTCTTGGTTATTCTCTGGATTAATCACTGGTCGTTTTGGTTGGAGGTTGAAGAAGTTAGAAAACCTGTCCGGTCTTCTGGGTTGCATGTACTCCTGGCCAAAGAAACCATTATGTCGGTTCCCTCTTGGATTGAAGAAACCTGCAAAAACATAATTTCATTAATAAACCTATCTAATTACTATTGTAAGTTAAATGGTCTTTATGGGCAAGCAACTGATGACAATTTGCTATTATTGAGTCGATCCCTTTTGTCAGAAATAAATTAATTGTCTGGTGTATACTTATCCTTTGTTATACCTACCTTATTTCCTGATACAGTTAACCTGTTATTCCGGTTAAAACACGTAATTCTGGATTTTAGTGCGTTTCAAGAACATGGTTAAATTATGGTGACTGGTTATGGGATTTGACGTCAGAGTTGGTCCTAAGGTTGAATGTTAGTCACAATGTTTTACGAGCAAATGGTAAATTAGTTTATTTTTTTTGAAAATGAGAACATGCTTAAGTTATTTAAAGATTAACAACAACAACATTAACATAACATTATGTTATGAGTCCCATGTAATAGGGGGTGAGTCTATTGCCATATACTGGGCACAATTCCAGACTCCGTACTACGACTCGATTTTTTTTTTAAACCCAGTGATATTTTGACCTACCCGGGAATCGAACCCGAGACGGTATTTAAAGATTAGTATTTTTGTCCTTTCCATACACGGAACCACAGGGTCTTTTGGAAGGCGTACGAGAGCCTGATAGTCAACTCCATACAGGACTTTAATCTGTTTGAAAAAGGAAATATCCTTACTAATAAGTAAATCGCAGTTATCTTTAAATGCACTATGGATGAATGCATTCAAAGACAATCTCATTTCAAAATAATTATGGATGATGATGATCAAGATTAATGTTAATATTAAATTGCATATAGCAACAATTTCATTATTTACATCATCACTTTCGTGAGACATACTAAATTAATTATTATGTTTTCGGCTTACTGACGTAATTACTTGACGAGAAACTCGACTAGTTTCAAGCCGTGCTAGAGGCTCATATTCATGAGCAGCATTTCGCGACACGCGACTGCTCTAGAGAGTAGCTATAGCAGCGAGACAGTTAGCCGAAAAACATAATAACTATTTCATTAATTTTGACTATGTGTATGAGAACCTTTATTTTGTTCTGTTGACAATAATTGTAACTGTTAGGTTGGCAATTTTTTTTTCATTTTTCCGCGTTTTGTCTCTGATTTATTGTTGAATGTAAAAGTCTTGCTCAATAAAATTATATTTTTCTGTATTCTAAACAGTTTAATTTAATAATTTTGATTGCTCGGTTGTCGCGGTGGTTGTGTTAGGTTAGTAACTGGCTGCCGTGCAACGTGACACGGGTTCGATTCCCGCACGGAACAACTCTTTGTGTGATCCGCAGGTTGTTGTTCCGGATCTGGGTGTGATGTGTATGTGAATTTGTATGTTTGTAAACGCACCCACGACACAGGAGAAAATCCTAATGTGGGGCAACGTTTTATTTTAATAAATAAATAAAAAAGAAATCCACCTCTTAAATCAACACTATAACTTAAATCTCAAAACATTACAGCCACTCCATTGATCGATCCTAGTACCCTAAACTCAGTATTAGCACTATTAACTCACTAACAAGATAAGCAAACTAAAGATGTTTCTTAACAACATATTGTATATGAACACAATGAAGTTGAATCTACTATAACTGCTATAGTACTGGCCAGGTGTCTGCCAGTTTCCTCATAGACAAAGTACTTAATACTTGTATTTACGTTATTTTTTGCTTCCCACAATATAAGTGGTTTTACTCAGTGTCAATGGTTAACGCCTTCGCTACGTTTTATTTTGTTTTTATTGCAAACGGAACTCGTTTGTTATTCACGTTATGTTGCTATCAGTCTGTGATAAAGATGTTCGGAATGTATTTTTGGAGTAATTTGGACTTTCTTGGTGATTGCAGATGCCTACAAGGTTTTGGAGAAGGTTTGAATGTTGTTATGAATTAAAAAAGGGTCTTTTGCATGTAATATACTCTTTTCGTTAAGTATGTTATCATTATCATTCGAAAGAAGTCCAATTTGATTCCTTTAATTCTTTATCTAAAGGCAGGAATTGCCAAAGTCATCCACGCTATGCCCGGATCGCAAAATGATATACCCGGTCCAATTACAATAAGCCTTATAGCCGTAATACTAAGTTATGAGCTTGAATTATTATCTTTAACATTTGAGTACACAAAGAATAATTACCGCAACTACATTTTGCTTTAGTAGATAAATAATGTATGATGTTATTTAGCGTCAAAGCCACTTTTTACAAAACTTTAATTCATTCAAAAGTTGATTGAGTTCGTTGTACGTGCAATCAAAGTGCAATGTCATATTTGCCAATTAATTTCTTCGTCATACGTGTGATTCAGCCGATACAGCCTTCAGCCAAGATCGTTTATACATGGCTGGTATTACAGCACTCCAATTTGGACATAATGTCGGTATTTGGGAACAGCTCAACCATAACGCTATGGGGAATCACATATAGCTGGTGTTTCATGGGACTTTTCAAATATATATAAATCAGAATACTATTATTAAATGTATTTTAGTTGCGTATTTTTCATTCATATTTGCGGATGTAGATTTTTTGCAGGAAAAAAGAATATGAATCATTCGTTAATTGATTGCACGTGTTACTGCTGATGTTGAACCAAGGTTTCAAACTCAATACCTCGGACAAAGTAATACTGAATTTTTAATTCTGAAACTTTTTTTAAGGACTTTTTTGAACATAATGCTTAAGCAACGTCTGATGTGCTGAAGCTATCATCAGAATAATAAAAATATATCTCTTCAACTCCATATATGTACTAACTGTGCCCACGACTGCGTCCGCGTGGAATAGCGTGATAATATGTAGCCTATATGTTGACCCGACCTGTTAGTAATATTCGTGCAAAATTTGAAGTAAATCCCTGCAGTACTTTTTGAGTTTAGCCCGGACATACATACAGACAAACAGACAAAATACCAAAAACCATATTTTTAGCTTCGGTATCGATTGTAAATGTCACTCCAAGCATTATTTAAAAAAATATTCTATGTACAGTTTTCACTTAACTACGATTTTATTATATGTATAGATATAGATGATCAGATATATAAGTTCACTTTGTTTGAGCTCCAAAACTACTAGTTCGATTTGAGTAAGTATTTTTGTATTCGATAGCCTATTTATCGAAAAAGGATATAGGCTATAAAACATCACGCTACGATTAATACGAGTCGAGCAGCGGATGAAATCGCGCTGAAGTAACTAGATATTAGATGCTCTTGTATTCTTGAGATACAAAACTCATTAGTAATTTATAAGGAAAAAAGATGCGTTAAATAGGTACCTAGTAAGTTATACTTGTGTCACGGTGCAGTGGGCATTCAAGTTCAATAGTTGGGGTTCACGGCCCGTGTCACGACTGGACAAGGTCAACAGACTACTTGGTTACGATATTAGGTACTAGATTGGGAAATATGTGAATTCTTGAAATGGTTGTGTATCTCATGTTGTGAAATATTGATATTTTCTTTATTTTATTGAGATTTTCCAATGAATTACGTCATATTCTAATTGTTTGTCTGATGAGTATTTATGTTGTGTCTGATTTAATTTTAATCCCAAATTTTACCCACTACAATATTTACGAAAAATTGTTTGATATTCATAAAACAATTTTTTATTATATTTTAATAAAAAAAAAAACAAAAAAAATATACTAATATCATAGTTAAATGTGTTTTTTGTTTAGATGTTTGTCCGTCAATCATAAAATTTAGTACACATGCAGGGTATGGGCTGACTTAGGGGATAGGATACTTTTATCCCGATTAAATGCTCCCATGAGATTAAACAGGAATCATTATTATACGCGGACGAAATCGCGGGCAACAGCTAGTAATTTATAAATTTCAGAAGTATATATCGTTTCATAAACACAGTCAAACAACCAGAACTTAGAACTAGTAGGGCTAGAATATTATGACGTTCACAAGTTAGTGCTTAAAATTTTCAATACCTAGATACTAACGTACTTAAGAGATTAATTAAAATCTTATCACTAAATGATAACAAGAAAAGGGGAAGCCCTTCCGACCATATCCGTACCATTGACCTTCTGATCTTAACAATCTGATTGCAAACTCTGCACACACTAAACTTGTACAGTGACAGCGTGTCAACCTACCCCAATTGGTCAGTTTTAGTCACTGGATTTTCGACCTTATAACAACAATATAAGGGTGAAATTCTAAAGAAGGAATTGGACAGAATAGGGTACCTTGACATGCTGGCTAGGTTAATTACATCTACTCAATGATGTAAGTAATTTTTTATTAACTCAATGTTTTTTCCTCTTTTTTTCTAATACAAATTATACGTTGTTTTGATGTCTGTTCGTGTATTATTGTACTGACTACTTACGTGTTTTTGATTGTTTAGTTCTATGATGTGACTGGACTATCAAATTGGGTTGTATTCTATTTAAATCATATCATTGTTAGAACAATAGTTTGGCAATGCAACCTGACTTGTAGTTACCTCCAAATAACTATGAGTATTGTTAAACTGTGCGGTCATGCGAACATTTAAAAACTTCACGTTACATTTGTTAGTAGATTAATTTACTACCAATGTATTTTACATGCGTACGTTTTATTTTTAAGTTTAATGAGATAAAATCTTGACATTTTCAAAGGTCATTACTGTTTAAGACATGCACATACAAATATAGCCACGATAACGTATTTACAACTACGAAAAAAACCACTTATCTAGTATTTTAACAGTTTTTACGTGGAAATAAACTTACCAAATTGACAAATCACATTTTGTACACACAGACAGACACACAAAAACACAAGAAATCCTCTTAAAGCCATCACAAGTCGCGTGTTTACGCGATCACAAACCGATTACCTAAGTTACAACTCGCGTCCGACACAAGCCGACGTTGATCCAAGACTGAACTTGATCAACTTGATTGAAGTCATATAAGCTCAATGGCCAATGATTATGACGTCACAGCTAGGGAAGTTTATATAGTCACTGAGATATTTGGGTATTTTACTCTGGTATCCGGAACTAGGGGAAGTGATGACGGCTGCGACTGTGACGTGCGTCTCCAAATCATGGTCGAACAAGGTTGGTGATTGACCGTGATTTGTTGTGTAATAGGTTCATTATGAATTTCTGTTTTCTTAGTCAAACTTTCGTGCAATACATATTCAATAAAGGTTTTGTAGTGGTATCGGCTTATACGTGAATTTTCTATATCTTGTATGGCGATCTTCGTTGTGTTTTTTTTATGAATGACAAATTATTTTTAAACAAGATAGGACATCTTGTTTGTTGTGTAACCTAATTTAAAATTAATTTGAAAATAAGTGAATTAGTAAAAAAGCATTGCTTGAACATGTCTTGGAGTAAAACCTCGATATGCGGTCCTGCAGTAATATTGAGGTAGTATACGAAAAGTAGTGATGATTTAAGACCAAATGTAAACAGATAGGTACTTTACCTTCACACAAAGTTAAATTATGTAATGACGAGCAAAAAGGTTTACGCCTATTATATACCCACGTAAAGGTCAACGTACCCAAATGTACAAATATGTTTAAAAAAAAACAAACTAAGTACTGAAGCAAAAATAACTCAATCATGTAACAAAGTAACTAATTTTGTTCATGAATATAGTTTTTGATGAACAGATGTATGTACATATGAATGTGGAAGAAGCTAGATACATGAGTAACTATGTAAGGGTCATTGTAAGTGGCACTCTGTGGTTTCTGCCTATCCTTGTTCGACAAAAACATTAGTAGTTTATGTATGTATGAAAAAATATTTTGTCAAGTTCTTCAATGTGATGAGCTATGACAACAAATACTTGTAACATATTTTATAACATTACGAATTACTTTTTTGTCATTAATATTTCTTGTTTAGTCATTTGTTAACAAGAGTGTGATTTATGATTTATGAACAGACAATCACCAGATGGTAAGTTTTCGACACCACCCATCGACACCCGCAACACTAAAGAAGTTAAAAGTGCGTTGTGGGCTTTTGGGGTATTTTTTAAGGGGGGAAAATCATTGAATGTATTCTCCCGCCCGGGTGAGACGAGAGACATGCTGTCTGCATGTCGAACCGGAGCCCCGGCAACCCTTTAAGTTCTCCGCGGCTCGGTATCGGTATTAGCCCTATTGGGCCCCATCCATGGTGGTGGTGTGGTGCTTCTTTGAGGCACGCGCAAAACGCGACGCGCCGTACTTTCGGGTCTGGTTTTGGGTCGGTAGGCGAGCCACCCGTGTTCGTCGTCCGCATGCCTGCGTTTACGGTGGCCGAAGATGATCTCGAGGGCTTTAAGGAGATAGGTAGGGATTTGAGAATTGGGGATGTGGTAGAGGAAGATTGGACCTCCCGTAACGTCACCCACACAGCGAATTACAAACGTTTAATAATACGTAGATTCAGTGTGGAGGGTATTACATAAATGAAGAATACCTACACGCGATATACCCGCCACAGAAAATTGACAGTTTAAACACTAATGGCGCACAATATTTACGGTGCAATCAAGTGTTTATCTGTTGGATGAATAACGTTACATAGGATAAAATTACATGTCCGATCATTAGAACATGTATTGCAATTATTTATCTACAGCGTTAATTGTTATTTTTTGTCATAGTATAGTCATAACAGCGGAACTATTAAAGCAGAATTCAAGGTCCTATTTCAAATCCATCAGGGAGCGCTATTGCCCTATCTCTGTCAAATGTAACAACGTAATCGACTCATAATATTCCAGGATTCAAACTAATAACTTATTATACTGCTAATATCGAAAAGTTTAGTAACCTATGTCTAAATATCAATCGTCACCAAAATCTGGCTCAAACTACTGGAACATTATAGAAGTAAAAATTCATACCTGCATGACGTTTCCCATTTTTCTTTCTGCTGCCAACCCTGGTTTTCTTTACCACAACCTGGTATCGATTCTTGGTGTTATAAACTTGGTTGGGAGCGTATCCAGTCGTAGTAAGGTTTCCATTAAGAGCATAAATGTTCCCTTTCTTCAGCCCATACGATCCATAACTTGGGTACCCTTGTAATCCAGAGCCATAAGTGTGGTAATCACTACCACTGGAATAAACATAATGGTAACAAGGATTTGAACCACCATGGGATGAAGATGACCACTTCTTGCCATACCCGTAAGAATACTGACAGGATATACTAGGAGTTTGATGGGCTGGATAGCTGTGGTATGTCGGCACATGTGCTTGATGCCCATGGCCATATAGGCTTTGGAATAATGCATCCAAAGCCTCGTAATATTCAGGAGAGTGGGTGGGGCTGGGTGGTTTATAAACTAAAGGAGTTTTAAGGCACTTTTGGGCATTCTGCGCTAGTATTAGAAACACGGGAAAGGATTGTATCAGGCTACAAATCGTTCCTTCTTTCATAGTCATGGTGACTGGTTGGAGACTCAAACGAAACTGACTGGATCATCTATTTTTATGACCCAAACTGGGTTATCAAAAATCTCATCAGTTATTATGTATTTCACAAAATATTATTTTGTTTTTATTGAGTAATCCGTTCCGCATTAGTTGTCCCTGAATGGTATGGTTCTATGGTTTATAGTTATTGTCCATATCATCATGTTTATCATCATTTATCATCAAGATCAGTGATTTATAAATACATGCAACTTTCTCTTTGATTGTGACAGTAATTAGGTACAGTAAGTAGGTAGCTGTGTTTATTGGGATTTTACGTTGAAATTAGGAATACTTATGTCATGTATTTGTACAGCCTCGTTAGTGTAGTCGCTAAATTTTAATACCTATATATATACGACTGATGACGTCATTCTATGGACTGGTGATGACGTCATTCGATGATTTTCCTCCCTTAAAAAAAATGGTCTGAATTGTTATGTACGTACGATTATCAAAATTGTAGTACCTATAATACATGGAGCGAGTTGCAAAGAGAGAGTGTCACGAGGTTCATTGTCGAGCATCAAACACAGGTGCAAAGTTGCAAGACTTTCGGCGAGTCCAAGGCCTGAGTGCTTATGGGCAGGCTCCATAGTAGGCCGCATCAATCTTACCACTGGACGAGATAGAGGCTCATTGTGAATAAAATAATATTTTCGTACTTTTCATCTCCAATTAGTTATTTATTTTTCCCCTATCTGATAATTAGAATCGTTAGTATTTTTTTTATGGAAGCGATCAGCGCCGCCCATGGACACCCGCAACACCAGAGGAGACACAGGTACATAGCCGGCCTTTTAAAAAGTAATACGCTCTTTTCTTGAAGGTTTGAAGGTCGTATCGGTTTGGAAGTACCGCCGACGACATTATTCCACAGTTTTGCTGTGCGAGGCAGAAAGCATCGTGATCGTCATCTATATGATGGGGGTGCATATGCTGTCGTGAGAGTCGATGGCGTAAACAGAGCACTCCCCGTGGTATAAGCGATAGAAAATGCACAAAATACATATACTATATTGGTACCAATATACCACATAACGAGATAGGAAGTAGAACTAATGAAAGTGTATGACATACAAACGACTGACTATTATAACAATGATACGGCTTACATTGATCTATTAGGCACAATAGGTCCATTCTTATACACTTTAGTATAGATTACCATATTAGTATGGAACACAAAAGCTTATTCTCTTACTAATGCGTCAATGTACTGCACATTGCACATAAAATAAGCAAGTACTGTAACTAGAAAAAACGCCTTTACTGTGAAAAAATAAAGCTCTAAATGCAAAAACTTTGTATTTTGAAATGAATAGACCAATATCATTCTTCAATTGAGAATGGCGCTAGTGTCGCTTTAAAGGAAGTTGTTCAAAGACTTTGTTTGAACAGAAATTAGTTCCGATTTTGTCCACCTGTATAAAATAGCTTGTTAAATTACTAATACGGTTAGGACGGAACTGTAATTTGTCACTGTCAGTTGACAAGGTTGGTGAGACATTTTTGTTTATGATACTTTACATTTTAATGTTACATTATTATGCCTTTTGTTGTTCATATCCTATTAGTCAGTCGTAATGATATTTGATTGTATTTGACACTAGTTTGCGATCCGGATTTCGTTTTGGGAGATAATATTGTATTAATTATAAGGTGGTTGTCAAGTTTTGGAAGTTTAAATTAAAGTTAGTAAGTTTAAGTTACGTCTTGTTGTTGTTGTTCCATCATGTTTATTCTGTATTTTGACGTCGAAATTTTAAGTATCGGGCGTCTGAATCAGTGTCCTAAGGTATAGAATACGTCGCGGAGAACCTAACAGGTTACCGAGGCTCCGGCTCGAGGCAGGAGAAGGAACGGGGTGGTTTTAGTCAGTAAGAGTCTGACACTCCCTCCCGCCTCACCATTCGATGATTTTCCCTCCTTAAAAAAAGGTATAGAATACCTTTTCATATTATACTATTTACCTTATCTATGAAAATCTTTTGAGGCCATTACTTAATTCTTAAACTGCAATGCAATGCAACCAACGTCATTATCGTTAACGTAACAGACAGTCAACTCAATAATATTAATATTATTTTTATACCTTTATAGATATCATGATTTGTTGGAAAAATTAAAAAGGTAATTATCAGTTTACGGAATTGTACTTCGATTTATATGACATTATTATAGACATGTGTGGAATTCTTAGAATATGATCATGCGTTGCTAAAGTGCGGACTTTTTTACGTACACATTCAATTCCAATTATAACGATCCTATACTTACGAGCGGTATCGAGCACTTAAGTCTAAGGAGAGATTTTGCCTCCTTGTGCGTGTTCTACCGCTTGTATAATGGGTTATGTTCTGCAGAATTATTTGATATGATGCCCACGGCCACTTTTTATCATCGCACCGCTCGCCATCGACAGGGGGTTCACGCTCACTCATTGGAGCCAAAATGGTCCCGTACAGTTCGGTTTCAGAGGAATTTTCTCCCACGGACCCTCCGATTGTGGAATGAGCTCCCTGCCGTGGTTTTCCCAGTGGGCTACAACATGAGGTTCTTCAAGAGGGCGGTGAATAGGTTTTTTAAGGGTCGGCAAGACGCATGTAATGCCCCAAGTGTTGCAGGCGTACATAGGCCACGGTAACCGCTTACCATCAGGTGGGCCGTGAGCGTTTTGCCAACGTCGTGCTATAAAAAAAAAATATATATAAAATTACCGTCATATGGAACGTGGTGTTACTTTTTTAAGAGATAATAAGCAGATAAATGAGCAGACCAATCAGCGTCGCCCATGGACACCTGGAACACCAGAGGCGTTACAAGTGCGTTACCGGCCTTTTAGGATTAGGAATTTGAGGATTGTTGGAGATTTAGAGATTGGGAAAGCGAGGAGATGGTAATTTGGCCTCTGGTAACCTCACTCACATGACAAGCGTTATTTTACCTTGGTTTTCTTTGAGGCCGTGGTATCATTCCGGTCGAGCCGGCCATTCGTGCCGAAGCATGGCTCTTCTAGACTTAAAATAAACATGTCATGGGTTCGAAGCAAAATTCTTGTAATTATTTTCCCAATTTCTAAGCGTGCCATAGCTCCAGAATGTTTTTATTGTATACACAGAGCATAAAGATTAATGTCAAGTACGATTAGACCTATAGTCCTACACTAAAAACTGGGCACAATTCCCGACACCCAGTAACTGAAAATTTTGATAATCGCTCTTTGTGAATCTTTTGAGAATTGAAATTTAGCATGTTACTATGTATTCGCTAGTCTCACTACTTGACCAACAAGGAAACACGTAACATACAACGTAACATAGCATAACATCACGCCTTTTATCCTCGAAGGGGTAAGCAGAGGTGCACATTACGGCACTTAATGCCAGTGTACAATATAACACCCACTTTTCCCTATTTATGTTATGAGTGTCATGGAATAGGGGGTGAGCCTATTGCCATATACCGGGCACAATTCCAGACTTCGTGCTACCACTGAATTTTTTCTTAAAAACCCAGTGATACTTTGCCCGACCCGGGAATCGAACCCCTTGCTCGGCAGTCACACTTGCAACGACTCGGCCAATGAGGCAATCAATAATACTTATATGTACTAAATAATTACCAAAACAATTTCAAGATTTTAATAAAGGTACTTTGTCCCGAAACTTAAAAAAAACAATAACAATTATAATGTCACGTCTCCATCTTAAGTTTTTTGGTAAATTGTTATTAGGAATGTTGAGTTTTTTCACTGGGAGCTGCAAGGTCAGACGTGTTGACTCAGGTACTTGTTCTGGTTGAAGCACTTTTGAGTACGTGCCTCTAAGATAATAAGATTTACGAGAAAAACTTGATAGGATTTGCAAAAAACTATTTTCGCGTATATACTGCTGCTAGACTACGAACTTGAGACATCTTACCATTACTTAGCAATTGGGTGCTTTTCACAACAAATTATTAAAAAATAATCCCACTTTCATTAATCGATTTTATGACCAACTTTATTTAAGTATTTATCCAGCAAATTATTAAGAAAGAAGTATGCTGTTTGACGCCCACAAATGTGACGCTACAATACACAATGTCGTACAAAATTCATTCTTAACTTTTTTGAAATGCATAAGAAGCGGGTGTCTTAAACCTCTGGGCAACCCCGACATGAACGTTCGTACATGAGGAAACCCTTAATGTTTTTTTTTTATGTAATAAGCCGGTAAACGAGCAGATGGATCACCTGATGGTCAGCAATCGGCGTCGCCCATGGACATCTGGAACACCAGAGGCGTTACAAGTGCGTTACCGGCCATTTGGGGATTAGAAGTTTGAGGATTGTTGGGGATTCAGGATTTGGGGATATTGGGGAAGGGGAGGGTAATTGGGCTTTCGGTAACCTCACTCACACGACGAAACACAACGCAAGCGCTGCTTCACATCGGTTTTCTGCTCGGCCGTGGTATCACTCCGGTCGAGCCAGCCCATTCGTGCCGAAGCATGGCTCTCCCACACCTATAAGTTATAAATAAAACTGTTGCACTATAGGTCATATACTCCACGTGTAGAGCCCTATATGAATTTGTTACCTTCTACTTTGTAACATATAATGTGCCATTTTAGTACTGCCGATATGGGCAGTAAGGT